ATAGGCGATGTCCAATTTTGTTTGTTTTCTTCATATTGTCTACTCCACGATTGGCATTATACCTAGGCAAAGCTCGTATTATGTATATTACCGAGTGATTTTTGGCATTTTATATTGTTGCATGCGGTCAGTTCAACCGTTAAGATGAGGATGTGATAGGATAATTCCAATAAAAGTACTCAAACTAAGTTAAACTGTTTATTGAAATATTTCTAAGTACATGTTATTTAATTAAATTGACAATTAAACTGGCGTGAAGGTGTTTGCTAGAATCGGACTAAAACACGTTTGAATATTGGTCTGTTCTGACCTCCTTATATATTCCGATTTTGTGGGAATCTACCCGTACGACATTGTGACTTTCCTCATGGATTAATGTCTTGACCTGGTTTGAATTTTTAAGTAATCCTCCAGTTGGCATCTTAGCCTTGTAAATTTAAGATGTCTCGACCCGGACCTGGGTTTTTAAATATTCCCCCAGATGGCAGGTTAGCCCTGACAATTAGGATTTTAACATAAGTCTACTTCCGTATGATTCCGTATGCTCGACTAGTTTTTACACTCCTACATTTAAGACGATGTGCCCTCATGTTATTCACACTCGAATATATCATATACGTATTGTGTATTGCCTATACTATGTATGTTCGTAACAGTAGTACGAGTCGTAAGGACTTACATTTATGTATGTCCGTAACAATATAATGCATAGGCATTTTGCAAAATACCGGGTTATCCGTATTGCCGGTAACATATACACCTATTTTAATTAATTACCTAGTAATTGCAAAGAATGCTGAGAATGATAAATAGATTAGAGTCCCCCTATCCTTTCTTACCACCTTAAACCCTGGTAATAACTGACAATAATGTCTGATTATATTTATTTCTAGACCCAAAGTTAAAAACTTTACACATATTTTTGTGTATTGGCTTTAGGGAAATTGTTATTATACATATGTTTGTTTCGGGTTTCGAAAATAATTATTGTCATGTGATTTAAAAACTATTGTTTATTTTAATCAACAATCTTTTTTGTGTTGTAAAATATTGAAATCTAAAAGAGGAAACCCGGATTTCGCACATAGTACACTTCAAGGTATTTGTTTCAGTTTGTTTTCTTATATTTAAAACAGACAAAAATTGTAAATATAATGAAAACAATTTTAAATACATGATAGGTAGTTAAGAAAAACTAATGTATTAAAAATAGTTTAATTGGCTTTTAATCGCGTTTCATATTCCACCAACTTAGTAAACATTTATTAATTACTTATAGTAGTCTATGGATAGTTTTTGGTTCAATACTTTTTATTCGTTTTCCAGAATAAATGGTATTTTATAATATCATGCATATAGGTAAGTGGCAGGTAATAATTTTAAATAAGTATTAATGATAAATATTATGTAAAACCAGAACAAATAATCTAGAGTTCTTTTCTTACTCAGCAGCTTTTGATAATTTTTTAATTTAAATAATCAAAAATATAAAAAATATTAATTATTTGAAATGGTCTAACTAAACCATTCTAACCAGTCCACCAGAACAGAACAGCGTTAAAAAATTAAAATCTGTTAATATTTTCTCGACTGTGTTAAGAACATTAACTCTTGGTCAGAGTAAATAGATCATCATCCGCTTATGCTTATTTGTTTTTTTTTTTTTTTTTTATTGATCACAAAAATAACATCGACAACAAAGGCCATTAGTTACTTATTTGTTTACAAATCATAAATGTTTATTTTTAATCACATATAATTTGTTCACTGGTAAACAGAACGTAAAAAGCTTGATAAATATGTTTAACAATGAGTTTCGCACATTAAATGCAATCGCACAATTGTTGCATGTTTTTGTTGCTGCTGGGTACATATTATATTCGCTCGCTGATTAATTTGACACTATCGACAAATACCTATTCGTAAGTACCTATATTTTTCGTGATATACTTAGCGTCTACTGAAATACGTGTTCGATTTGCATCCTATCCGGAGGCGTCGAAAAACATTAATCACGATACCTTTTTTTTTTGTTGACTTAAAAAACGATTTGAAAATAATGCTATGCAGTTCGAATGCATAAATAACTGGATGAATAAACATTTGCATCGCTAAGGTGAAATATCACTTTTACGCTATAGAATTCAATACTCAATGCGTGACGTTTCATTTTACACGTGAACATGAGTTTATGTGGTTGTTGTACCTATAGCTAATAAGTCAACGTGGGAGTACAATAGTAGTAATAACATAAATGTATGTTGTCCACTGCACTACGTGTATGGGTTACATTAAATACAGATGAATATTAATGAACCACGAAATTGTCGAGCATGGGTAAAATAATAATAATAATAATAACAAATAGAATATTCAATTTTTCCAAACCGGAGTTTAGTTCGAAAAAGAAAATGAGAATTAAAAATAAATTAACATATACAATAAATTTTACCTAGTTCGTTCGATGTGTACCATTGACGTTATTGATAAATCGCCCAAAAATTCAAGTACCTGGGTCTGATTAATCTAATACATTCTAATTGAGTAAATTACAATTTTCTGTGTAGGTAAACTATAGGTATTATATTGTTTATAATTTTAAAAACATTTTATGATATAGATGTACTATGTACGTCTTATGGGTTAATGAAAAACGAATGTGTTAAAATAATAAGAATAATTTTTTTGCTAAATATCATGGGTATTTATGAAGAGTGGCCAAGGGTTAAGGGAGCTTATATATTTCTAGAGAGTAAACAAAACACCTGCGCATAACACAACTGATTTTCATTAACATCCAAACCCCATATTATATTAATTTGTTTTTGTCTGGAAGTCGTATATTAAGGATCATTATTAGTAAAATAGCACTCGCCATGAAAAAATACTAGATCCGTCACTATCTGTGAACGAAGGTTTTCTAAATTACATATTATTGACATAATCGCACCGGAATATCGACTTCCTCGAAGCCGGATGTGTTCGGCCGAGCACTGAGACTGCTTTGGCTTGATTCCTAGTACCCGAGAACTAACGACCTCACCGAAATGTTGCATTAACCCGAGTACTTGGTTCGTACTGAAAATAAAGAAAGAAAAAACACGTCTAATAACAAAGTGAAAAAAAAGAACGAACTATTATTACGACATGGCAATCAAGTGTTTTTCTGCAATTTTCGTTTCGTCCAAAATCTATAATTACATGCTAATGTAATAACGACCGCGTATACAAGGCCGTTTTTCGTCGGTGACAATATGTCTAGTACACTGTATATGAGCAGAAAAAACTTTTTTTCTCGCAGAAACGTAATGTACAGATATTAAATTATTAATTGGGCTGCGGACAAATCGTCCAAATACATTTTTATCGGAACTTCATTTTTTCTGAACCAGGATAAATCGATCGATTGGACTTGTCGAAGCGTTGCAATAATCGTCGACAATATATTGATTTCGATTCGCCTACGAACGCCGTAATTTGTTCGGTTATTAAATGATAAAAATCCACAAAATTCCAATTTGGAAAATAAATCTTTTTTCTAAAAAGACAAAACACCGACTTTCGTCATTTTGTTGACCGTAATATTATTTTTTTCGCAAGACTATCTGATATTTCAAACGGAATACCGAAGAACTGAACGAAAGTTAATTTAATAATGATAGATCTTAATCGTTAATTGCACAGTAATAATACAACTCAAAAGGTATGTTAAAAAAAAAAAATCTGAATCTTCCGAATTATTTTGTCTTTATTTAATATAAGGAAATAATGTAATTATTATAATAATAATAATAATTACATACCTAATTCAGGTATGTAGAGTATTAATTTACTCAAACACAGGTAAGATTGAGTGAGTTGGTAAACAAAATGTACTGAAATTTATTTGTTTGAAGTTAATACAAATATTTTAAGATATAAACCAAATGCGAACATTTCGTTGAATTTTTATGGGACTATAATAATCCAATTTAAAGTGACCCATAGAGGCTTCCCCCCCCCCTAAGCACACGTATAAAGTGTTAATAATAAAAGTATAAATATGATTATGTTTTAATAAATAAACACTAAATAACGTATGTTAAAAAAAAAATAATATTTTATTTTAATAACAAATATCTGTTATTATCAGAAATATAATATATTATATTTAAAATATTGCTATTAATAGTTTTGGACACATATTTTTCAATATATAGTATAGAAAAATCGCAGAACCTATCCTGAAGCATCGATATCCTAAGCCTTATTTTTTTTTATTTTACTGAAACTTTTTTCGGAAGTAGCCAAACTGATTGGTATCGTTAATCCTATTGTAGTTTATGCAAATTAAATATTATTGTTTGATTTTCTAAAAAAAAACTCTAACAACCTTCTTTGTGTTATATTTACATCAGAATCAATATTTTAATATTTTGAAATACCACATTTTTAAAGATTTTTTTATCAGCGTTATTTGTTAGTTCAATATTATTTTAAAATTTTCAAAAATAAATGAATAGTTAGTTATTAAAACAAAACACAGTAATTACTTTTTGACTAAAGTCTTGGTTTTGGAGGGTCTATTAAAAAATTTGAGGGACTAAGTCCCGCATCCGATATCTGCATATGGTACGTTGACTTATAATAATACAGCTAATAAGATTTGATTCTTAAGTTTAAAGTTGACGTGAGGAAAAATTATTTAACCGTACTAAAAATAAAGTTAATTACTTTTTTAATTAGTGCTTGGACCGTACATAATATTATTTTATATTGTATTTTTAAATTATTTTGCCAGACGTTCACTATTGCGCGCACACTGCAGTAGCTCTTCTCACGACTCCTATTCTTTTATTTCAAACGTGAATAAATCAAAAAATATTAAAATACATTTTCGATTTCGAAACCATTATTTCAACTGAGTTGGTAGGTCAGAAAAAAAAAAAAAATTTCATCTAAAATTGTTAACCACTCGTATAAATTATTGTTATGCACGTTTGTTCGTAGGTTAGCTAAAAATGTCTTTATCGCAAGATTCGCAGACTGCCCAGAACACGGATCGTTCGATGGATCACGGTGATGACGAAACCGAAAACAAACCGTCACAGCCGTCCACGGGACTTCGGTTGAGACCGAGATTGTACGAAATGATCAGCAAGCCGTTGATAAAAGAAATCATCCAGAACGTGTACGGGAAACATTTGAAAGGGAAAACGTGGAAAGATTTGGATCCGAAAATCACGTGCACTAACATTTCGCGTGACATCGAGTACGGCGTGGTCGAGGTCTACCGGTGTATTCGCGAAGACAACAAATACAAATTGGTCGTCCAAACCATGATCTGCGAGTATAATTCGCAATCGGTCAACATAGATGCTCTTTGTTTTTGGGACAAGAACACGGACGGGCTTGTCTACGATAGTTACATCAACGGTTACGTGGTTTGTTACTCTCAAGTGTACTTTTCGTACTTGATGCGGCACGCGTGATGGGCGGTTGTAACACGTACACGTGTCAACGAGTGAGGTGACCACGGAATAATAAGAAATATTACTACTACTATTATTATTACTATTATTATTATTACTATTTAGAATATTCTTATTACTCTGTGACGCACAAGTTGACAACAAATAAAATATAATATAATAACGATATGGAAATGTATACCGATAATAATGAAGTATAAATTTTGTATTAACACAAAAAAAAAAAAAAACAGATTGATTTTAATAAGAATCAGCGGTAGGTAACTAAAAAATGGCACAACAATTTTATGTTCGCGTACACGGTGTCGGAAAAACAGGCCCTGTTCAATGGTAGTGCCGAGCAACCGCTCGTGTCCCTATCCGCTGATGGATGGGAAATGGGATTTAGTGACGACGCGTTTAGTATTGCGCTCAATTTCAAAAAAAGAGAAACAAGTGGACGTATATTTTACATTTTTATACTTGCTACGAGATATTGTTTTAAATATGTCAAAAAAAAAAAAAAAAAAAAAAAAAAAACAGTGGAACTCGATGGAACTTTTTCTATAACTCAACTTTAAATTGATATTTTGATATATTTGTTCAACAAAAATAATATTTCTTAAAATAGATATTATATAAGTATATTATGTACATGGTATGTATTACATATAATATATTATATTATGTTAACAATAAATATTGCATAATAAAGTACATACCTGACGCTTCAATGTCTATATTGAAAATTTGTGCTTTTAAATTTTAAAATTAACAAAGTGAGTATGACATCAACGCACGTAGTAACTAATTGGCACTGGTCGTGCGTCAAAAACCAGACTTTAAGTACACGCACAGGCTATTATGTCGCGGAAACAAAATAAGTTACTACTGTACATAAAAATAATAATAATGACGCCCTTCAAGGCAAAGAGTACAGATATTTAAGTAAATACCAGTTAATATAGATAACATGAGTAAGAAATGTATATAAATAATCTCGATTAAGTACATACTAAGTTGAAATATTTTTAAATCAATAGTGTTGAACATATAATTTACAAACGTAAATGATTATAAGTGATTAATTAGTACATTTTTAAATTTATTTGGATGGTTAAAAAAAAAGTCAAAGTTTTTAATGGAATTACCATTTAGGAGAATTCTATTAAAGGGTGCATAATGACTATTGTTTTGTTTTTTCGGTTTTACATAAAAGGTGTTTGTATAGCGGAGAGTGTGAAGTGGTACATTCAGTGGAAGAGCTCGGGACAATCAATTTTATTATTTAATAATTTATAAAGGAAAAAAATATCTTTATTAAACCGCCTATTCGCTTAGGGATTGAAGGTTAAGTTCTTTAGCGAATTGAATAGATGGAGTATTGGTCTTTCTAAGCTTATACCGCATCATATGGAGAAAGCGTTTATGTATCATCTCAATTTTATTAACAAGACCAGTTTGATAGGGACTCCATATAATTGAACCATATTCAACTAATGAGCGAACTAAGGAACAATATAATGATTTCAAACAAATCGGATCATTAAATTCACTACAGTTTCATTTTAAAAGCCAAATATTCGTGTTAATTTATTACACATGAGAGTAATATGTTCATTGAACGTTAAGTCACTAGATGAGATTATACCAAGGTCTTTTATATGTTTCTTTAGATTTAGGCTATCATTTTCAATAAAGTTATAGGTTTTTTATATTTAGTGAAGGTTATTTGTGAACATTTTGAAATATTTATATGTAATAAGTTTTTTTGACACCAATTTTTAAATTGTATTAAGTAATTTTGTAATTTATTACAATCATTGATTGAATTAATAGATAAGTATAATTTTCAATTATCTGTAAATAACAAAATTTTACAATTGGTAAATACGTATTGAAGATCATTAATAAATATATTAAATAAGATTGGGGATAAATGGTTACCCTGGAGTACTCCTGATGTGACTTCGATTATGTTAGGAATAAAATTATTTATTTTAACTTGTTGTTTTCTTTCTGAGAGATAAGATTTAAACCAAGCTAACATAGGATGAGTACATTAGTCTACAATTTCAAATATTTCTGTTGAGTGGACATCTATTATTTTAAAAGTTTTCGGAATACTTTTGAAGTATTCTAAATAATGTATTCAGAATACAATTAGTATAAAGTCTTTGAGTACATATTCGGAATACTATTTTTTGTAAGTATTCGAGTATTTATTTTGAATACTTTTAAAATGTATTTTACCCAAATCTGTATAGAACACACTAATATTATTGAATGGTTATTATCAAAAGTCGATACTAACACACACATATAATATTGTCTGGAGATTATAATCTTACGGGTACAACATTTTATAACAATACTTTCGGGCTAAAATATAGTGATGATCACTATATTAATATGTATAATATATGTACGACTAAAATGTATCTCAAAAAGCCAGTATAATCTTTGATAGCTTTTCGTCTCTTAACCTTTATCAAATTAATGTTTGAACCAATGAATTCAACTCTACTGTTGATTTGATTTTTAAAAATAATAATGATTTAACAATAGAGATTTCAAACCTGACTTTGGTACCTACCAACCGTTATCATCCAGCACTTCAACTAAATCTAAACTTAAACTCGCATAATGGTTATGACTCATAACTTATGAGTGTTTACAATCTTATCTCGACTTTAAAAACACGAACTTTACGGCTCTCAATAAGTATTTAAATAATATTAATTGGTCAATTATGTACAACCTTAATATTGTATTCGGAATACTACACAAGTCTGGTTCTATATATGTGTTTAGATTACTGGTTGGTGGGATATAACATGTTCCTAAAATATATTTCAGTTTGGCATTAATGGTTACTAGTACATAGACCTGTTCAATGTTATTATATTTGATATTAATAATTTTTGAAGATATAATTTTATTTACACAGACCACGACACCACCACCTCTAGTACATGTGTTAGTCATTATGCTCCTATCAGTATAATAAACATTATAATTATTAAAACTTAATTCTGTATTAGATATATCATCTCAAAGCCAAGTTTCAGTTAAAACAAAATATTTTACATCAGTTAAAGGGATATTAAAATTTAAATAGTACAGTAATTGTACGTAAACCACGGACATTTTGATAATAATCTGAAAAAGACATTTTTTAGGGAAATAGGATACATTTTATAATAAAATTTTTACAAAATTTATTATAACTTCGTTTAAGTAATTTTGGATCTTTGTTGAAATTGGGCGAGCGTGAGACGATTAGTTTTTTTAAAATAATTTAGGTCTTTATAATATCCGATACGAAGATTAGTTTCTCCACGACTTTTTTCTCTGCTAACTCATTCAAAATTGTTTTGTATTTGTATTGTTGAAGCTTGGTTTTGTCAGTGTCGATGTTGATATGTTTCAGTGTGTCGGAATTGCGGAGTTTTGATTTAGTTTTTGGAATTTGATTCACGCAATTTACATCAGGGAGAATTACTTTTAGGAGACGAGATTGGTTTCGATAAATGCCGAGCCGTAATATATCTAAAGCTTTTATGGGTAGATTTAGGGCAGAAAAAATCGAGTTGGCTAGATTCATGTCATCAGAAATATTACTAGGGGTAGGTTCCGAGGCATTCCGAAAATAATGACATTACATTTACGACGGTCTCTATTAAGTATTTCATTTAAGAAATCAGATTCGTAGTTCAAAAGTTTATCTTCGAGAACTGAAACTTTTTCTTTAAGTGTATTATTTTCCGAAATAACATTATTCAATGATTGTAAGGTCTTGTCTAATTTTTTTGAAATATTAGATTCTTGTATAGAAAACTTTTTTTCTAATGAAAAATTTCTAATTCGTCCAGTTTTGCACTATCCATATTTTTTGAGGTAGACGGAGTCGGCATAATGTCTAGACAGATTAAACACTTTCTTTCTTTAGAATAAGTTGACAAATTGACACTGTTATTATGAAAAATTTGGTTACAAATATTACAAACAATCGAAGGTTCGATACGCTTTATTGGTAATGTACACAATGCAAAACTAACCATTACATTATAAGCGATAAACACACCCGATAAGCACAACCTACTCGAATGACGGTTAGTACTGTACTGTATAGTACTGTACATTATGAACTGGTTTATAGACAATGTTTTAATGATGTTTTTATTAACTACAAATAAAGTATACATTTCAATTTTTGGCGTCGTAATAATCTTTAATCGGCCTTATATGTTACGATGCGTGCCGTGGTCCGGTGGTTGACGAGAGACGTAAAAGCGCGGTCGGTGACAGATCGGTCCCATTTGATAACGGCTGCCCCATGGGTCCGTGTTTTAAAATAACCCAGGGGGGGCTTCGTCCCCATACCCCTTTCCCATGCACAAGTAAAACTTATTACTATTAAAAATATAGATATGTTTAAATTGTATTAAGAAAACACTAAATAACATATATTTAAAATAATTAATAATTTATTTTCATGACAAATATCTATTTGTATCAGCATAGATATTCAAAATATCATCGCTTTTTATATTTTTCGATATATAGTATTGAAAGATCGCTGAACCTATCTTGAACCAAAGATGTCTTTAGCCAAGTTTTTATTTTTTTCATTGCACTGAAATTTCTTTCGCAAGTAACGAATTGGTATTGTTAATACTATTGTAAATAGTTTTTTAATATTTCTTATTATACGATTTTCAAAAAAACAACGAAAAGTTTCTATCTTGGAAGGGGGCTATTAAAATAGTTTGGGGGCTATTGTTTTCACAAATGATCCTCTGTAGACGAAGCATATTAATCAGTAGAAAATATTGTTAATTTTTTATTACTAAATAATATTGACTTGAATCAAAATATTAATTTATTAAATCTCATACAAAATATGCTATGATGAATCAAAACAGCTATAAATCACTGATTTCTTAAAATAGTTATGTAATTTTTAATTTTTTTATTGATTACATTAATTTTATTTGAAACAATTATATATGTAAACAATATTTTAAATTTTAAGTTATAATAAAATAATATGTATATATAATGTGTAGGTATATTTTCTGTTATTAAATATGTAATATATGTATTTGTAAAATTAAATTAAAATTATAATTATATGCTTTCGTGGTTTAAAATGTCTTTGTACGAGTAGAATACGAGTATAATGTATTAATAAGAATTAAAATCAAATTTGGTTATAACGACATGTATTTTACGGTTCCTTGACCGTCGTTATAAGCGATACGGACTGTATTTCTAAAAAAAATTTTTAATTAACTTTTATTAGAAAATAAATACAAATATATTTTTAATCGCAAAGGAAATAATTATTCAAAATGTGTAGAACTTTTCTTTCACAATCCACTCATATTTCCACTTTTTAATAAGTATTTCAATAACTATGGATAATAGTATTTTTCACGGAAATCGCACCGGATATTACACAGTTGACGAGTTCGGTCGTATTATTTTCAAGTACCTACTCTATTATTATTCTTAGCTAAATTACTATGCTTAGTAAACATAAAATGTTTAGTAATTTTTGGAATCTCAACTTCTTGGAATGATTATTATATTCAACAAACAAAGCCGAAGAAACCGAAACAAAGGCGAAGAACAATTGTTATTTCCATACCGACAAAAATATCTCATAACTAAATGATTTTTTATTTGATTACAGATTGTGTTTTTTTTTTATATCATTTTTTTCTTTCTATATCATACGTTTTTCTGTTTTAGTAAAACTATATAGACATGGTTTTCTTTGATTATTAGATATAAAAGATTACGTTCGGATCATTAGTTATATTAGATTTATCAGACAAATTAACACGGAATTTGTTTCTTCTTGTATTGTGTAGTCGATAAGTTTCGAATGATTTCGTATGACATTTAGCTCTAATTATAATTTATTACAATTATTATGTAATGACGATATAAATAAAAAGTGATTATTTGTATTGCTTTTGATACCCATAAGGTAGTTTTAGAGAAATTCGTATACGCTGACTTACAGTTGAGTATTAATATTTCAGTAATATACTGTTAATACTTGAATTATATTCAATACTGTTAGACATGTTAATTTGTTATAAATTATTTGTTTTAATATGAAATACTATTTTACATCGGGTTATCTGTATATTATTATCAATAAATATGATCATCATACTGCCTATAGAAATAATTAAAAAAATATCAAGTTCAAAATATCGTCTATTCAGGAGGATTTGAAAAAATATCACATAATAGTGTTTGCATATGATATACTTACATTATCTTTTCAAATAATTTGTATCATTTTTTTTACATGGGTAAAGCGATATTTGTTATAAATAACATAAAAACACCAAGTAGATCCCGTTCATCTTTTCTATTTTATATAACATGCAGTAACAATTATTATTATAAAGTAATGTAAAGTATAATAAATCCATGCGGAGAATTGTGTCACTGGATAGCAGCCCCTTTTGTTCCTCTCTGAATTGTTTTATTGCGTATACTCGTATTTAGATAACTGATCGTAATTAATCTTTTGAATAAAAATAAGACGAAAAATCTCATAACTGAATAGAAATCGTTTATCAACAATCAAGTTAGTATAATACAAAATAACTTTTCAAATTAAAATCAACTTAACATTTAAGAACTTAACATGGAATATACTTATGCGTGTGGTATACACTTTGGAAAAATGTTATGATAAAATATAAATTATTCTATATGTGCAAAATTACAGATATTTTAAAAACTGCGACTATTTATTTTTAAAAATATATTTTACACAATAATCATATTCTAGATGAAAAAATAACATAATATGTATACTATATAATATTTACATCAAACGAATCAGTTTATAGAAGATACTTTATCGACATATAAATAATATGTATATTATATTAATTGGCAAACGTCTGAATATCGTTCAGCATGAACGTATACTACATATAATATACCTACTTATATGTATAAGTGTGTTATACATTATACAACCATATCACAAATAGTGAGTACAGTGGATTCTTGATAATTCGAATTTGAAGGGGACTGTTAACAATTTGGTTTACCGACAGTCTCCGAGTTGTGTTGATATAATGTATATAAATGGCAATTTCAAGAGGAATTCATTTCCTTCCGAATCATCAAGAATCCTTACCTCTTGCGGTTGAAGAGTATACAAATTAATTTTGTTAACACACTACTGAGCATTATTAGTCGTGTTAAACAAGTGAACAATATATTATAAACTATGAGGAAACTATAATAATACTAGAATATAAAATATGTATACAATAAGAGTTGTACTTATACGTAAGTGATTCCAAACATAACAATAATTATTAATTTTACCAAAAAGTATACAATACAGTCAGTGTCGTAACCAGGAATTATTTTCGGAGGGAGGGAGTATACATTTAAAAACAATTTGAAGTTTGAAGATATTTGGCGGGGAGAACGAGGTAAAGTTGAGTTAACTATATATTTGTATGGGGTCACAATCTCTAGCCCACCAAGTTTCGCCACTGAATACGGTATAATTCTAATTGTTTTCTTTGTTTTGGACATAATACATTTAGTGGCAATTGATGTATCAGTCTATAATGTTTATTTATCTTTGGGGCTTAACCAATATTTTAACTACCTTAACATTACATACTTATTAATATGAACATCATAATTTTCTACCCGTTTAAGTATAGTAATTATAATTGAACTGTTAACGTATAGTTAATTATTGTATTGTTAACAAATCGATCTCGGGGTGCTAACGATTTAAAACTCCCTAGGGAGAAAAGGGATAGGTGTTTAAACGTAGATATATAATTTTATAAAACATTGAAAATTATTTTCAGCTTGTAATTCTAAGCCTATATAATGTCTACATTGAGCGGGCACACAGTGATCGATAGCAGGTCGGTTGCCTTTCAATAAATGTATTTTTCACGAGGACACTGGGTGATATCGTAAAATAAATAATATATTTCAATATTTATCTATTATAGCTAAACACGATTCATAAAAAAAAAATACATTAAGTAATGTTCTAAGAATATGTAATATAGAAATTATCACGGTCATTATCATCTGTGAGATAGAAGATTTTTTAAAAATGTGTAACGAACTCAAAAAGTTAATTCGAGATTGCTATTGAACAAAGAAGCTATTTGGTTACGAAACTATTTCGTATACAATGTAAGTAAACGATACGTCGTCGAAATTTACGTACACGGATATACGAGCGTACAAGCGAGATCTTGAAAATCTATAAATATCGACGGCCGAAGAAAATACGAATGGTTTCGATAGCTCTCGCACGGGTACTCGACACTCGTTTCTAGTCGTGCACATTTGTACGGATGTGTACGTGTTACATAAACGTGATTATAAAATTGTTTCAAAAGTGTTGGGATTTGGTCACTTCCCCACCTCCGACCGTCCTGGACACCGGATTCCGAGGTACGAAAGCGTTTATTATCGATCGAGATTTGTTCAAAAATCGATCGGAGAAACGTGCAAAAAAAGAAACAATAAACGTGTTTGAAACGTAAATCCTGGAAACTGTTGAAGTATAGCACTGAAAGTGATCGTCAGGACACCTTTCGCGCGAGCGGGCCAGTTCGGGTCGATTTGCGGCCGAAGGTGTTTCGTAAACACTAATCGTTCGAGGACCGCAAGGTGCTGACCCGCGAGCGCTGATGTTGTTGTTGTTGTTACGGTGAAAGCTGACGCGGATCGGCACTGCTGCGGATCGCGAGGGTCAGATCAGGGTGGGGAAGAAACCCAGCAACGACAACGTGTTGGACACCTTGGATATGAGCTGTCTCTTGTACCTCCAGATGGTCGTGTCCATGACGCTGTTCTGCCGGAACTCGGTGCACGTCTTCTTCAGCGTCTTGACGCAGTCGGCCCGGTAGTGCTGCAAGTGCGCGTCCTCCGTCTCGATCGGATACGACGTGCACGCTTGGCCGAGGCACGCCAGCGGGAAGTGATTGTGCAGAGTGAGCGCACGCTCCGGGTTGTGGAAGCACTTGACGTACTGGTTGGGTTTCGTGTAGTTCTGGCTGCGGTACACGTGTTGCAGCATGTGCATGTACCTGGGCATGGTTTTGAACCAGCCGTGCTCGTGTATTAGGTCGTCGAGGAAGTACACGTTGCGCACGTTATACGAGGCCCGGGTCTCGTTGCGCTTGGCTAGCGCCTTGACCAGCACCACGTCCATGAGCTCCTTCCACGTGCGTGACTTGATCGGCATAATCACCTCGTCGATGTCCAGCAGCGCGATGTAGTTGTATGAGTACAGGTTGCGGTACAGGCAATCGTTGTACGGTATCAGCTCGTTCTGGCGCTTGTGGTTCACCTTCTTGGTCAGGTACAGGTGCTGGAACCCGGGAACGTTGGGCTGGCCACCAGGCAACGTGAGCGGTTGTACGTGCACCATGCCCTTGGCCTCGTAGTGCTCGAGCACTTTGCTGATGTTCGGGTGCACCTGCAGCTGGTAGAAGAATATCTTGTCGGCGCCCAACAGATGCAGCAGCTCGATCCACTCGACCAGCCGGACGGAGAGGTCCTCGTACAGGAAGTCCAGGCCCTTGACGCACACCGCGAAGTCCTTCTTGACGACCGGTCGGTCGTAGACCACGCGCAGGTTGTTGGTGGCCCGGTCGCACACGTTCTCCACCAGCGACACGGACGCGGGCACCGCGTGATGGTGCGACTTGGGAACCTGGCACGCGATCAAGTACGGCTGGAAGATGCCCTGCTTGTAGTTGCCCCACTTCTTATACCATATGTACTTGTATTCCATCGTCTTGACGATCACCGGCTGCCGGTAGCCGTCGAACCAGAACTGGCAGTGCGTGCGCACCACCGGCTCGATCCGGTTAATCATGCCCAGTATGCGCACGGCCGGCCCGATCCGGCTGTACTTTCGCACGTCATAATACGCGCTGAACAGGTGAAACGACCCGTTGGTGGTGTGCAGCGACTGCCAGTACACGTTGTTGAACTCCAGCTCGTAGATGCTAGGGAACCTCGCGCAGCTCTCGTTCTTGTAGTACATCAGCTTGTTCTTGTTCTCGTTCCAGTACGACACCGGCAGGTTGGGCAACCGCCTCTGCACCTGGTCCATGATCAGCTGCTCCGACTGCGCCAACCCCTTGTCCACCCACGGCTCCACCGTCAGCAGGCTTTCGTACGGCGGCGTCGTGGTGCGCGCCACGTGAAAGTCCATCATGTTCTGCAGGATCGTCCGCGTGTTCACGTTGGTCGACTTCATCGCCGCCATCGGCCGGTCCGACCGCCACAACGTGATCAGCAGCTGCGTGAGGCACAGCAGTATGGCCGCCCAGAACACCAGCCGGTACAACATGTGCCTGAGCACACCAATCCCGATGAACGCAGCCATCCCTGTAAAGAACGGAATCATTATTGATCATCAAGTGTGTTGTATTACGTCGCGCGTTCTCGTCTACGGCGCGAACAGGGCCCCCGGAGTGCTAAGAGGACCACGAGAGTGCCGAATGTCGCACTCAACATCCCTCGCATTGGCGCAACTAGGGAGGTGCACAGGGGACTTGTGCACACCCAAAAAATATAAGCCTTTTTCCAAAAAAAATGTAGGTACCATAATGTATATTGAGAAAAATAGGTACCTATTATGTATCCAGGGACCCAGCTGTATAATATATATATATATATATATATATATATATACGATATGTCTGTATAGACAAATTGTATAATATCTAATGCATAGGCGTGTTCAGACTTTGGTGGCCGAGGGGGAAAATAATTTTAAAATAGGTAGGTAGGTAGGTAGATCTAATTATTTAATTTTGTTAAATAAATTGTATTATAAATATTAAAATAAAGTATTTATATTGAAATAATTATTAGTAGTTATTTTTTCATAAGTGTAATGTGGAGAGTAATTAGATTAGTAATTTGGGGTTATGAGGACCTTGCCCCCACAGGTCTATGAGCTCTTCACTATTTGTGCACCCCCAAAATTATTGGTCTAGTTGCGCCTATGGTCCCTCGTTCCTCTTATCCGGTTTCTTTAAAAACCCAAACGAACAGTTTGTCTAATAGCTCAACGTGCCTACGCATAGCGTCATTTACGATGGTTATGAGCGCATTTTGCAACGCGCGGACGGATGATACTACGTTTCGCATCGAGTTCAACTAAAACTATCAGTCGGTACTGCGTATAAGACGTTTTTGATTTTTTAAGTATAAACAGTTAAAGAATTAGTTACTCCGTCGAATCGTTGAAAATGTATTATTATTATTTATTTTTTAGGGCACTTTTATTTTTGGTACACTTAGACAACTGAATTAAGGACGGATTCGAACAAATACTTATCTTTACAACAGCAAGGACGGCTAACTGGCAACCAGCGGTGGACCGCGCCCGACTCGTTGCTTTTATTCGATATCAAATAGATTATTTTATTGTTATGAAAAAAAATTAAACCGAAAATTTGAAACTGCTTATATAGGTTTATTACATTGATGTATTCGTTTATGGCCGGTTATGTGAATATATATTAGATAAAAAAACAATTTAACATGACAGTACAATAAAAAACAAAGGATTTCCTGTGGCCCTCGGACAATAAATTATAATAGTTTCATAAAATAGCCTTTTATAGACGATTTAATTATGAGGCCATAATCTACGGGCTATTTAAATAATAAAAATATTTTGTACACCACGGTAGCACTTGAATCGTAAAACTTGTTTAACGTTGTCACCGTGTCGATATTAGGCGACTTTCAATAGAAATAAAAATACGACGGACTTGTGTCATCAAATATCGAGTTACAACGCCGAAGTAGATATTAAATGTCGTTTAAATTGCTTTCGCCTCGGTGCATGGGCTTGCAGAAAACGTAATTCAGTGGAAAATAATCGAAAAATACGGCACGCACCTGTTTAATAGTGTTCGCTACCGCTCGTACATTATTTCCACATGACGGCGATGGACTTTCCGTTCGACGGAACTAGGTTTCTCGACACGTACGTGATTTAACGGACCGACCATAATGTTTTCAGGCCGCCGAGTTTTCGCGTACGAACATGATGGCGGATTGGAGCTGCCGAACCGCGCCTGGAAAATAAGACGGTCTCGTTAAGAATTATAACACGTACCTGTGGGTACGTATGTGTACACGGTGTACACCATTAAACAGTATAATAATAACAATAATAATAATAATAATATTAATGATGATGGCGACGACGAGGGTTGATTAAATCGAACGCAATCGTCGGGTTATAAGGATTTGCTCGGTGGTGAATATTGTTTTTGATTTTAGGCGAAACGTTTCGAATGGAGGAGCAACGACGGTTGGATTGACACGTTATGTGACACGGTATTTCGTCGTAGCCCGCGACACTTCCGAACGCCGGTGGACGTATGGGTTACATTTTTTCGACCGTTTTCGTTTAGGTTAGTAAGTTTTCGCGCAACAGTACAACATCAACGCTATCGTTGTAATGATATCATGTTCGGCATGCGCGTGCACGGTTGGCAATCGGTTCGCGACAGAAAATTATACGCCAACCGTCAGCAACGCGATGCATGTATATATGTTTATACATATGTATGAATAATATTATATAAAGCGTATTTCGAACGATCCAAGATACAACGGCCGCGGCTGATGACATTTCAGAATAATCATTTTTACGATCGGAGCGAAAATTATACGCAGTTACCGGAAACGACGTGTATGCATGCACGTGCATTTGCGATTCTTATGCACGCGCGATTGAGACGCGGCGCGATAAGAATCGAAAAAGGATATCGGTCGCGCTGGTGTTACCAAGCTCGTTTTTAAATGCATCCTTTGTTACCTAACGAAGACGCGCGCCACCGTTGAACTGAAATGTTTATTTATCGAATAATAATATTCATAGCTAAGGACCGGATTTATATGCACGAAAAATCCTCAAAACGTGCTTCTAAAAATGCTGTAATATGCTATAAAATATGTATTTATTTTTAAATATGTACTTAGATATTCACTTAAAATGTTGTTTAAAACTATGTACAAATATGTGAAATGTATTATAAATATAAAAAATAATCATTAATTAATACGGTATTAAAAAAAGTATAAAAAAGTTTTTAAAATATTTTGTCGTCTTTGTCGCCATTCAAACATTCTTTATCTTCAATCTATGAAGTATAAATACCCACATTAATAAAAAATGAAAACAAAAATTGAATTCATATTTTACCTTATTACATTGGATGATATGAATATGTAATCTTATCTTTGAAAATAAACACCGGTCGCAATTTTATCGATATGATGTGGCAGTGATCGTGAAAATATGACGAAAACGAATATATGTGCTATAAATAATAATATGTATTATAAAACTATAAATATGCATTGAATATGCATTTAATAGGTAAAAACGTTGAAATATGCAAAATATGCAAAATAAAATTATTATTATTTTAATAAGAAAGATCTAAATCATGGACAAAACTCATCAGATTTCAAAAAGCTTATTCCAATACATATATGCATTTGCATATAAATCCGGTCCCTATTCATAACTGTAATCACTGTTGTTCGCCTGCACCGAAACGTATTGATTTCAGTGTTGTGGTTTATGTTAATCTATTCTGTACAGTTAAGCCCTAAATTTAGTTCGATCTCGCCATAAATGTTATTCTATAAAGACATTGAAAAAAAATATATCAATTCTCCCGGCTAAGAACATTTCATGCGCCTCGTTTTTATTATTAGACAATAATCGTTTAACTGTTGCCCGTTCTTCGTCTACTTCCTGCGAAAGAAGTAAAAGATTCATAGTTGATTTTTAGTCAAACACATTATTTGTACGATTTTCAAAACAAATGAATTAATCAACATGGTGCACGTGTCTTGCGGTCAACAGTTCTAGTGTACCGCGCGTAAGATTTCACGTTAGATCATGCGGCCAAAAAAATTATAGACGCGTCTTCATATGAATCACTGCCTTAAGCGAACAGGATAGCGATGGGTAATTTCAATCAATCTTTTAAAAGATATTTTTAATTATATTTTGAATCGATCTCCATGGACCGATCTTTTAAAAGATAGATTTGTTTGTGTGAGGATCGAATTAGAATCGTTAATTCGATCTCTTATGTGAATCGATTCAATTTTGTGAACCGAATCGTTGATACGATATTTTATGCGAAACGATTTATTTTTATTTGTTGATCATCCGATTATGTAATACAAATTCTGTCGTTAAATTATTCTCAAGTAAGCATAAATAATAAGACAACTTTGTTGATTATTAATATGTGCACTACTTATGATATTCTTAGAGAATTACAATACGAAATCCATAAGTATATGACATTTGATATGTATTATACATTACGATGCGGATTACTTTTATTTTTAAATTGTTAACGATTTTTTTACAATAGTTCTGTAGGTTATACAATAATGTCTATAATGCTTACCAGAATGCCGCACACAATTATAAACGAAATGTAATTCAACTATTTTTTTATCAACTTTGAATAACCTGTACTTGTATAGGTATTCGAAATCAAAATAAAAAAAAGTGTTTGGAACGTCGGACAAAACTCAACTGAAAACATGAGCTGATAGGTACTCATTATTTTCAATTGTTATGGTTTTTTTTTTCATATGATTTTCTTTTATAAATTATGCCAAAGTAGTAATTAAATATTTTGTTTGTCTATACAAAAAAAAAAAAAAAACCCGAATGCTTTATACTGTTCCAAAGGATGCACTTTTACTCGTCCTTCATTATTTTACAGATTATTCGTATCAATCATCGTTCCGATCTGATGACTTGATTTATACACGGTAAATAATCGTGTGAACAGCAACGTACAAAAATAATTCGGTTACTTAACACGTACCCGCGCAATCTTCGTGTCCCGTGCGGGTTTTGATTTTGTTGGGTCGTTTATCAATTTAATAAAAACCTAACTTAACAAAAATAATTCTACAACACAAAAACGAACCAAACCTCTACGCGTGCGCATTAAATTAACACACGCATGCACGAGTACGTACACGAAATAACAGATTGAGCAATGGTTACGGCTAGCCGCTCGGACCGCGCGTGGCATGCCGGTGTGATATCGGTCGATCATGTAGTATAATATCAACGCGATATCGGATTTGTTCGTATATATTTATAACTCAAATGCCCCGGCCGACTGTCCAGCCGCCAACTGTTGAATTAATTAAACCGCGAGCGCATATCTGATGCCCTTCCTGCCGTCGGTATACATCAAATCCGGTATTTTCCATCAGCGATCACAAAACGAATATAACCTCCTCAAATCGATCAACGGCCGCGAGGGTGGAAAAGAAAAACGGTACGTCGCGTCCGTTGCCAGAGAAAAGAGGAACACCAAAACTTTACGAGTACTAACGGAGTAGGAGTAGAAAACAGAAATTATGCACGTCAAAATAAACTATGTTTCGGACGTTACTAAACGCAAAATGTAATGTTCACTATTCGACATTGAACCACGCACAAGTTTTAATGATACAGTAATTTTTTGGTTTACGACCAAAATGGGTCGGGACATTCTTCGTCCAAACGATATTCACTTATTTATAACGATAAACTTTGCAATATATTCACAGTTATATGATTATTTGCGCTGTAAATTATAATTAGGAATGAGTGGCTCATCCGAGTACACTTTATATGGGGTCATACATTGAGAAATTTGTTGTTTTATTCAATATCTCGCTTATTGGATGATACCGGAACATTCAAGGTAACGCTCTGTTCGATGAATATCAGCTTGGCGAGGCTTATTGCAATATCGAGGGACTTGACACGTGTAAACATTGTCGAAATAGCGAAATTGCAATGTGACTCACGCATTGATCTACCGGGATACCGGTAAACTCAGTTGGATCATCCTTTTGAGTTTGTAGGATCACGGAACAGTGACACGTAATCGGATATTATTATTTATCATTACGATACTTAAATAGTTTTACAATTATTAACAACAGTTAAACAGTTACAACAGTAAAAATACCAGAATAATATAAGCGTGCGACGTACACGAATATTTTGACCAACCTAATATAACGTCTAAATAATTGTTTACAAATAACGTTCGTAGGTTATTATTATATATTTGAAATAACTTATAATATTAAAATAATTATCAATTATAATTGAAATGTTATACCTTCGTCGCTTTTCTACCGAAAAAACTCATAAAACTCGATTTTTAAAAATAAAAATTTTACCATCGATATAATCAACAATCGTTGTGCACATTATAATTTTTTTAGCGAGTCCTTCAACTCGGTTTCCATGAAATCACACCAGATACGTGCCGATACATGCACAGTATACGATACAGTTAACTAGTGATTTGGGTTCCAGTTATAATAGTATGCGTGTGACATGGCTTCTACCGTGGTTGTTGGTAATTCTATGATTTCAATACGTTTTTGCCGAAGACTTCAACAGCGTCTTAAGTATTATGCAGGCGTAGTAGATACACCCGAACAATGTAGTTGCAGGCAACAAAATTCGCGATTTATCGACGCATGACGCAGGGGCAAGAGGCGTACATCATCGTAAGCGAATGAAAGGTATATGTTTCGAATGTGCATGATGCAATACAACAGTGTCAAATCCCGACGAAAAGCACGAAAATGTCAAAATCTTTTGAAAACCGTACCATATTAAGAAGAGAACGATTGTTTTTCGGGAAAAATCACTTTTTTTTTGTAGAGTTACAACAAGAAAAAAAAAATAATTCGATTTGTTCAAAGACCAGTATCCCGTAGGTGTTGGGTTTTTCTTTATCTTATGATTATTGTTACGGACCAGGAGGTCCATAATGATATATGATAGGACATGGTATTGGTGGTCGGGTTCTTTGTATACGTGCTGTGTGTTTGAGTAGCGAACACTGTGATTAAAGGAAATAAGCCCACGGAGAAGAAGACCGATCGGCCCACAAGTCATAAGCCCACGGCGGCCTACACGCGTCTGTACTCGGACCACGGGGAAGTGCGCGTTCGATGTTTACACCACGCAGATTTTGAAAATCGAACGAGAAACGTTGTGTTAAGTTTG